AATTCTGCAAAGAAGCGTGGGCCACAATTCCTCCACAGCAATATAAAGGAACAAATACTTGATTGCAGAGTGGCACAACCAGTTACTAGGGGGGCAGTTACTTTTTTTCATATGGATAATATAGGTTTTGAATAAATGTTTATCTCCAATAAATAAAATGATCGTTTACTGCATTTTGTGTTTACTTATGTTGTCTTTATCTCATTTTAAAATTAGTTGGATGACCTGAAACCTTTAAATGTGACAAATTAGCAAAAATAGAAGAAATCAGGTAAGGCGCAAATACTTTTTCACAGGACTGTAAAAAGTTATAAGACAAGTCTAGGTTCATTTTGGATAGTAAATAAAATGGCTATACTTCTGTTGTAGACATTGCGACCCCTGGTTCTTGTCGCCACCACTGAATTCCTCTAATTTTTCAAATGTTCTGCATAATTAAATGGTTAAGATGTAAACACAGTCATTCAGAGTGGTTTCATGTGAAATACTCCATTCTAAAGAAACTTATCAAGAATTGTTCACACTGGTGGTTGTAGGAACCAGACATCTGAAAATGCTGTAAAAAATACCCCCAAAAGCTAAATTTCAGAAAGTTTTTACATGAAATATCTATGAAAACATTGAGAAAACATGTAGAAAACTGTACCCAAAACAAAGTTGTGTTGTTGTTTTTTAGATTTACCACTGATTTACATTCAGATCTAGTTCACTAGTCACTGAATTTGTGTTAGACATTTCAACCTCTGGTTTCTGTCATTGCCACTATAAAGAAATATGAGGCAGTAAGTTCCTCTAAAGTGAACCATGTCACATCAAAACACTCTGAATGGCTGTAATGACATCGCAGTGATTTAATTCCACGGAACATTTTCATAATTGTAGGAATTTCCCTTTGAATATATTTAATTACATACATACATTAGAGTAATACAGTAAAGTGAAAGCAACAACGGCCAACTTCTCTAAGTACACATTCTGTGCGCTGCAAGACATGAGTGACAGGGTGCATCTGGCTGAATATGTATGTTTCTGCTCATTCACTGAGGCTCTGGCAGCTTTGAACAGAATTTACAGCTTTTCTTCCAAAAACCCAAAACGAAATCTGAGTCAGCAAGTTTCTCTGCAATAACAATTTAACATCAAACCACTCTGAATAACTCTACATCGCAATCATTCGATAATGCAGAAATTCTGAAAATTGGTAGAATGTTCACTCATCCATTACAAAAATATGTTGTTATTTAATGTGAATTAAAAACTCAAAAATGCAGATTCTAAGCTTTGAACCGATCCCCTATTTGTGTTTGTAAGCAGAACAGGAGATATCTAACTACGATCTGAGTCTGTTTATTGTTGCACTGGAAGTGCACACTGAAACCTGTCCAGCGTAATTGAAATTCACTGTGAAACTATGGAATTAACTGTATATTTGCATAATTACACTCACATAGCAGTACAGCAGTTATGAAATGTGAAGGACCAGATGTAATATGATGTGCAGTGTTACATGGTTGGCTCTGGTGATTCGTACATCTATTTGCATGTGTGTGTGTGTGTGTGTGTGTGTGTGTGTGTGTGTGTGTGTGTGCGTGGTGTGTGTGAAAGTGTTTCGGCATCCAGACACAGGTGTAAATGAGTTAAGTCAGAGCCTTAGACAACACTCCTCAAACCAAAAGGAGAGAAAAACCTGAGTGAAACGTGCAACGTGCTCCTGTTCAGCTGAGAAGGCTGATGTCACACATCTCTACACATAGTAATCACTACACACCAGTGGTATAGCTGGAATTTCATTTTAAGGGGCATTAAGCATTAAAACATCAGTATAGTGAGCATAACACCCACCAGCTAAACAGCTTCCTTATAGCCAAGAGCATTTTTAAATGGGGCCAGAAGAACAACACTTCATTACAACGTATACAAGTTTTACTGAGGAATGACAATAAAGGCCACCACTTGATCTGACTTCAATATTAACCACACCACATGATTGTTTACCTCACACTGAACTGGTTAACATCAGTTGTAACGACTGACATCATTCCACAGTGGGTAAAGGCTTATTAAAGGACCCATATTTTCTCCTTTTCCTTCATAATCAAACAGGCTGCTTTTTAAGCTGATATATGTAAATGAGCTCTGTTGTAACTGGCTGCCTCAAACTGCACTTCATTCAAAAAGCTGTCCAAGCTGAAACACTCTTTATAACTTCAGCATGGAGAGGCAGGGCTAAACTGTCTGTGTGTGACATCACAAAACAGAGTAACTTCATAACAGGCTGTTTTCTGCATCTTACTTTGCTGTATGGACTGCGGAGTGAATGCTATGTTTTCAAACTTTACGTTTACATACTATATTAAAGCCTCAAAACTATAGGAACTATAGGAACTACAGGCACAGCTCGTGTAAGTTCTCTGCATTAGGAGAAACAGTAGAACAAGCTGCATTTGAAACAAAAAAGTCTTTCTATGTCTTTTTGCACAACCAATGGCGTTAAGCAGCCATGTGAACGTTGCCATGATAGTATGTGCCCAAAATCTGTGATGATCTAAGGAGAGCTTAATCAATCTCTTTTATTTACTTAAGGTGAAAAGCATCACAAGAATAAAAGAAAACAGCACACTTGAACTTGCACATGCACATGACCTTACATTTTGTGCTACTTTCATTTGCAATGTAGGAATTTTTTATTACTTTTCTTTTAAAGTGGGTGGCTTAGGCTCCCACAGCCCTCCCATAACTATATCTGTCACACACACTAAAGCTGAAAATAAAGAAGATATTTTTTATGTAGTTTTAAAGATGATTCTACAAGATATTTAAAAATTTAATGGAGAAATATTCTTAATGTAACTTAATAGAATGAGATTTTCTTCCAAAGAACTGTGGACCATTCCTATCGGCCCATTCATCATGACATTTTTTATATAGCGCAAAGGACAGCTGATTTCAAATGTTTTCAAACCTGAGAAAAAAAAGAAGTCTTGATATGACAGTGATATGAAGACATCCATTTTCTTCCACTGATTAAGCTGAATCAGACATTTATCAAAAATATGGAAATCAAACTCAACCAGAGCCTAAAAAAGCACTTTCATTTCGTCACACAGTCAGGACACTCCTACAGCTCCTGCGCCTCAGAAAGCCTGCATGCTTTTCTTCAGACAGATTTTGAAGCTCTTTCTATCTGGCTGTGAGTTTCTGCTCTGTGCAGTTTGTGCTGGTCCGATTGCTGAGTCAGCGCTTTAGCTTGGAGCTTTTCCTCAGAGACTTGAGCAGCCTGGCGCTCTCGCTCCAGCTTAGCTTGAGGTTTCGGCCAGTTGGGTCCTAATGGTGGGGTTGCACTGCAATATGCCGCTGACCTGCAGGCTCCGACCACAGCTTTCTCTCCAAAATGGGTATAAATTATCCTACAGGCCATCGTAAAAGCCTCTCTAGAGACAAACATATATTTCTTTCCCAGTTCACTAAAGCCTTTAACACTATTATATGAAAGAAACCCTACGAGTGTATGCTTTTCTTTCATCGCCATATAAGTAATAAGTCTTGGACTGTATAGTGGTGATGGTGTACACTGTTAGTGCAGAGTAGGATGTCATTAAAAAGGAGTTAACATACTCCTTAGATTATTGGATACTCTCTGCATTGCTCATGTGCAAGCAGGGTGTGATCCACTACGCTGGCAGCTGGCTAAAGTGGGGTAAACACCATCTAATTAACCTAATTAAACCCCTAATTAAAATGTAGTTCAACTACAACTTGATAACTTAATGCTAGTGATGATAATGCATCTGTTCATATATATTTGATGTGCCACCCACACAAACATATGCTATTCATAATCACAAGACAATGTGCTAACTACCAACATCATTATGAACATTTAAAGGGTCTCTCCAGCCAGACTAGGGAAACTACCCTCTGATGATTTACCTTGAAAGTGGGAGGAATGTTTGAAAACCTACAACTGTTTCAGGAGGCTGGCTGTTTGAAATGTTTTTAGCTTCCAGGCAACTTCAGCTACCTGTCTTCCACCTGCATTCGCAAGCTTGTAGAAATACAAAGAAAGAACAAATTTCACACAGCAAACCCCAAAAATCCAACAAAAAACAGTTGTAGTTTTTCAAAACAGTTTCCCACCTTCAAGATACATCATCAGAAGGGGGTTTTCCCAGTCTGGTCAGAGTGCCTTTTTAAGGCAGGGGTCATCGTTTCTGGTCCTCGAGGGCCAGAGTCCAGCATGGTTTGGTGATTTCCTTGTTTAATCACACCTGAGTCAACATAACAGTTAGTTAACTATAGACTTATTATTTGATTTTTAATGCAGTAACTATACATTACTTAGCAACTACTATGAATTCTTCAGTATCTACTTTAAATTACTACTATGAATTTCAGCTACTATAAATCATTCTGTATTGCTACTAGTAATTATTTGCTAACTACTATGAATTATTTAATAGCTACTATGAATTATTCAGTAACTACTATACATTATTCAGTAAGTAGTATGAATTATTTTGCAACAAAGTTTGAAGTTATGAAAGTATGTTATGTCCAATAACATTTAGTATTATGAATTTTGATTGATATTATCTGATTTTTTCTACGATCTTAGCAAAAAGGGTTCCATACAGTACCAAAAGGAAAGGTTCTATGGCTTGTAACAATAGCACAACCCTTTTGGGCACTACATAGAACCTTTTTAAAAGGTTATTTTAAGAATTATATACAACAGAATCTCCATTTAATCATGCAATGAAACATCTAAGCATTAAATAGTTCTTTGAGTTATGATGGTTCTATATAAAACAGGGATGTTAAGCAGGGATGTATGTGCTGTACTGAGGACCTCCAGGACTGGACTTTTGATGACCTCTGCCTTAAGAGTATGTAGAAAGAGTACTTGGTACCTTTAACGTACAAAAAGCAGTCATAGCCAAGTTGTGACAACACTCAAAAATCAGACCACAGAGCTGAAATGATGAAGTTAAAAGCTTTACCTTCCACTGCTCTCTTGAAGAAGACTTTGCAGCTCCCGCAGGTGACCACCCCATAGTGGCAGCCGGACGCCTCGTCCCCACACACCAAACACACTTTGGCTGTGGAGGACGAGTGCCTGAGCGACGCGCTGCAATGAGAACACACAATACACTTCCTTTAGCCACAGAGTGCAAAGCTATTTATAAACTAACAACAACATTATTATTATTATTATTATTTTGTTGCTGTTGTTGTTTTTGTATTTATAAAATTCTAAATATGTTTAAAATAAAAAAACATTAACAAATGTATTAATCACATTAGTTAATTAATTAATTAATTATCTCCTAAAATGGAAGAGCTCATATATCGTCCAACACATTAATTGCTCACTCTCATAACAAAAATTTTCACAATTTTCTTAAGATTAATTAAAAAGCCTTCACATTAATAACTGATTAATAACCCTGCCACCTAAGGGGTTAAGCTGCAGTGACCAGTAAATAAATAAGCACAGATGGACTGAACAGGGTGTGCAGAAGTCCTTTAGGGTTAACCTCAGGACTGACGAGGGAGTAAAAACAGTCAGCAGTTTATTTTTGAGAAAGTTTGGCCTAATGACTGCAGTATGAGGCAAGTGCGCAGTGCATTTCTCTCACTGTTACTAGGCACCCAAAGGGCTCAGCATATGCCAGTGACTCATAACGTATGCTTCGTCATTTAGCTTCAAATCATGAGGTTTTCAGGGGTGGTCCCCTGAGCACAACTCTCAACCAAACAACTCCCACCAGGACCTTTAAGTGCAAAACAGGCCTGAAAACCAATGGCCGCTTGGAACCAGGGGAAAGCACATACAGAGCAAATAATATAACAATAATAAAATAGCAACAAGGCTGAGCGAGAGGAGAAGATTTTACATCCTGTGTCCTCCAAATGAAATCGAAACAGTCCAAAACGAAAAGAAAAACCCGAGGCGCGCACTCCAAAATAGTCACGCTGACTCTGCAGAAATCTGATTAAATCAGGCAGCGAAACCTGACATAGTCCGAGCAGGCAGAGCGCTGCAAAACCAAAGTCACCCCCTCAAAGACACCTAGGCCATCAGCCTAAAACAGCACAGCCTAATGTAGGCTCATGGAAAAAACACATAAAACAGAACACCCTGCTAATATAAAAGCATATCACTGACACTTTATTTTCCTCAAATTTTGGGTACGTATGGGGTACACACTCCACAGTGTAACCATGTAACCAGACAGTCTAGCTATTACACTGAAAAGCCCAAAATATTCTTGCTGTTAACAAGCTATTAGTTATTAAAGGGCCCTGTATAATGGAAAACCAAATTTCCCTCGCTTCTTTGAAATAAAGGAGTTTAATGTAATATGTAAACACTGTTAAAAGTTTCAAAATGTACCATTCACTACCCAGACCCTATGGGCCTCTAATGACCAGGTGGTTATATGGCGTAAAAAAGCAGTACAAAGACACACGAGTGTTTCATAACACATATCTTTCTATGAACCAGAAGTGAAACTGTATCTGGGCTGTAAACGGAAATAATGATTCTTATTACAGTTGTACTGGGCCCTTATCGTCTACTTTACAAGATTTTTCCAATATAAACTTTCCTGCATAAACATGTGACATTGCAGTGAAGTGCAAGTTTGTAATTATCACCTTTTCATTCCGAGCAATTTTCCAGTTGTGAGACATTTCACTACGTCGTTTATCAGCTTAATACCTATTTATAGCTGTAATGTGTTTCGGGGTAATTTAGCTAAACTGTCTTGGAACCCGAAATAATTACCTAATACTTTGTTGGTAGTTTGTACCTAGAACTCAAGAGCCTGTAAATAAAAACTTTACCAGCATATTAACTCATTAACATTGTTGATGGTGCCCTATAGCGTATCTACAAATGCTATTTGGCTTATTGCATAGTAAGGCTTATTATTCAGTAACAACAGGGACTTCAATGCAAACCGGCTGAGCTGTTCTTAGGTTATAGAAGCGTGCAATAAAACCTTGGGCCTGCCAGCCGGCCCTGGCCATGTAATTTTTCAGTTCTGCATCTCATTTAGGTAAACCGCATAAAATGTATGTTTTAACTTAGTTTCCCCACTAATTGGGACTCCTTCCATCAGATCCCACAAGGCATATACTCTTCATGGGTACCCACTTATGGATGGCTATGGCACTGCTGGGGTCCAAACTCACAACATTCTACTGTGGTGATAGTTTAGTCTGTTGCACATCTCAGGAGCCCCAGACGTTACTCAGATTTGTGTCCTTTCATGTTTAATACACTGTAAAATTATTTCTTGTTTTAACCTTAAAAAGTAATGCATTAAAATGTGGTGCAAATGTCTAAGTATTTAGGCCAGCATCAGGAGGTTATGAGTTTAAACCCCAGAGATCCCACAGCTGTTTGCCAGCATGTCTGGAAGAAGAGGAGAAACTGTCTGGTGGGATTGTGAGATAGAAAGAGTCCCAGCTAGTAGGGAAACTAAAACTAATGAGAATTAGGAGAATTAAGCTAAGACATTTGAACTGGGTGAACTGGGTGTCCTGAAGTTAACTCAAGAAAAGCAGTGTAGTGAGCTAGCTTATAATCTGAAGTTGAACTGACCTCATTTTTTACAGTTTAAAAATACACGCAACAACAGCATTAAGAAAACACACTGTTAAAAAGAGAGAAGAATATATTAAATCCAGAAACAAACGCTTCTTTGCGCAAACCTTAAAGGGTTAATTTATTAATGTTCTTCAAAGGGGATTTGGAGGGATTCTTGTCTCTCTAAAAGCAAAGCCACATATTATTACCTTTTTACTATAAATAATATTCATCCAGGAGCTCAATACCTCCAATTGGCTTTATTCAATTAATTTCATGGTTCTGGCAGAGTACCTCGCCACCTCCCTCTCTCTCTCCCTTTGCTAATGAGCTCTCTCACCCATCATAATCGATAGTGCAGGGTAATTGTCTGCTTAACATTCTGACAACATCATGCCGTCTTAACTAGCCGTCTGCTCTCGGAGGCACGCTCTGCTCAGCGAGGGAGACGACATGCAGCGGCTCCAACACAATCCAGCGAGCTGATCTAATTCCGCCGCGCCCATCTAAACACACATTCAATTTGTTAGCTGCTTAGCTCGTCTCTGGCAAGGAAGGTGATTGGTGGGCCCTAAGAGCCAGTCAGTGTAGCGACGCCAGTGCATGATTAAAGGAATAGTTTGGCGAAAAATCAGATTTGCACAATTTTCCCTCTCAGCTCAAATATAGTCAATCAGCCAAGATATGTTTGGTGTCTGAATTTTGCCTCTTTAGGTCTGTACTGGAGCTATGAGACTAACAAGTTACAGAAGCTTATGTCTCATCAATTAGGGTCATGCAAACAAACCTAAATCATCAAACACTTAACCTCAAACAGTGTCGAGTTGTAAGGTAAACAGACTTTCTTATGTAGTTTCTGACACGTGACATACTTCTACGAAAACGGACAAAAGGATGTACTCTAGGTTTTGAGATGGCTGCTCCTACAGTTTTTTGCTATGCAACATACAACAAATGGCCAAAAGTATGTGGACACTTGACGTACCTCACCTGAACTATACAAGCTTGTTGGATATTCCTTTCAAAACTATGGACATTAACAGCCTCCACTGTTCTGAGAAGGCTTTCTACAAGATTTTGAAGTGTGTCTGGGGGATTTTGTGCCCATTCAGTCAAAAGAGCATTTGTGAGGTCCGGCACTGTTGGACGAGAAGACCTGGCTCACAATCAACATTCCGATTCATCCTAAAAGTGTTCAGTGGCGGTGAGGTCAAGGACTCCATGCAGGCCACTGGAGTACCTCCACACCATACTTGTCAAACCATGTCTTTCTGGATCTCACTTTGTGCACAGGGGTATAGTCATGCTGGGACAGGAAAGGGCCCTCCTCATACTGTCACCACAAAGTTGAAATGTCTTTGTATGCTGTAGCATTTTGAGGGCCTCAAACTTTGAAAAACAGCCCAAGACTATTATCCCTCCTCCACCGAACTTTACTGTTGCCACTACTGTTGTGGTCTACCACTTCATGGCTGAGCTGCTGTTGCTCCTAGATGCTTCCATTTTACACTAACAGTACTTACAATTGACCAGGGCAGATCTAGCTGGGAATAAATTTCACAAACTGGCCTGTGGCAAAGGTGGTATTCTATGACCGTGGCACATTTAACGTCACAGAGCTCTTCAGCATGACTCATTCTACCGCCAGTGTTTGTATATGGAGATTTCATGGCTATGTGCTTGATTTTATACCCCTGTCAGCAACTGGTGACCCAATAGTTAGGAGGAATGTCCACATACATTTGGCCATATACTTTATCACTGTCCATTTTTTTGACCCTACACATGTCTGTGTGATGATTTAGGCATGCAGATAGCATGATTCTCATGCATGATTCTCTTGGCTAATACCCAACTAGCATCATGATAGTTGGGTATTAGCCTCCATTGCTAGTTACAGTCATATGAAAAAGCTGGGGCAACCCAGTCAAATAGTATGTTTTGTTGATTTTCTAAGTGAAAATAAGGTAAAGCATCCTCTACAGAATACTCAATTTTCAATAAATAAAAATAAAATTTGCAGACAAAATGCCATATTTCAGCTTTACCCCTGTAAAAGATGTGTTAACTTATTTTCTTTTAGAAAATCAACAAAATGTAATTTGACTGGGGTATTCAAACCCCAATTCAAAGCATGACTATATATTACAGCCCCAGTGCAAAACTGCAAAAGCAAACATTTCTTGGCTGATGGACTACTTCAGAGATAAGGGGAAAATTTCTGCTGCCAAACTATCAATTAAAAGAAGGCCAGCTGTGTCATCAGTCTGGTTCCATATACGTCCACTTCCCCGTCTGAAAGCCTCCTGCCACAAGAGAATAAAAGGTGGCGTAAAAAATAAAAGAGGTTTGATAAGGTGACTCCTCCCGCAGATGGGGTAAGTGGGTCAGTGTCCACAGTTATGAAACAGCCGACCTGTTTAAATGCCTGATGCCTGGAGTGTTTTGGAGCATGCTTGTGTACAGTAGAACTATAGCGGCATTGAGAGAGAAGCATTAGCCACTGTGCTTAGATTGGGCTAATAGCACTC